TACGTTGAGAAGCCTGAGTCGCACATCTCCAACCTCATCAACTGCGGTGTCTACCTCTTCGCCACCGAGTGCATTTTCCCCTCCATCCGCAGTGCTATCAAGCGCCGTACCACCCGCCCTCGCCTGCTGTCATACCCTTCGTCCGAGAACTTGGAGTCCTCTTTCATCGCAGCGGAGGACGAGGCAGAGAAGAGCGAAGTCCTTCGTCTGGAACAGGATATCCTCTCCGATCTGGCCGACAGCAACCGTTTCTTCGTCCACGAGACGAAAGATTTCTGGCGCCAGATCAAGACGGCCGGTTCCGCCGTCCCCGCCAACGCCCTTTACCTCCAGAAGGCCTTCCAGGCCGGATCTGACGAACTGACCCCTCCTTCCGCTGCCATCGTGCCCCCAGTCTACATCCACCCCTCCGCAACAGTGGACCCGACAGCGAAGTTGGGCCCCAACGTTTCCATTGGACCCCGTGTGGTCGTGGGCGCAGGCGCTCGTATCAAGGACTCGATCGTGTTGGAAGACGCCGAAATCAAGCACGATGCATGCGTGATGCATTCGATCATCGGCTGGAGCAGCCGCGTTGGTGCCTGGGCCCGTGTTGAGGGTACCCCGATCCCCACGGGCAGCCACTCGACCAGCATTGTCAAGCACGGCATCAAGGTCCAAAGCATCACTATCCTGGGCAAGGAGTGTGCCGTGGGTGACGAGGTACGGGTACAGAACTGTGTGTGCCTGCCGTTTAAAGAATTGAAGCGCGTATGTAACCCCATCCATCCACATCATCTCGAAACATGAGGCTAACAATATTCCCAGGACGTCGCCAACGAGGTTATCATGTAAAAGGAACATGTGACGTTTTTGGATGTGACATGCATATTATGTGATATCTGTTCTCTTTCCCTCTATCCTTGGTCCCTTTGACCATTCTGGCTAGGCCCTTGTTGGCGGTCGGATTGCCGAAACTACGTGCTTAGATCTAGCTCCAACCTAGAAACGGACCATGAATGAATTAATCATGTGTCCGTGGACATCTCCCAAATAATATGCTAATATCTGTTCATAGCTGGATTATCGGCCAAGTACTTGCTATAAGGCATTCAGGTATCTAATGCTAAGCTATCCAAGTCATATAACAACCAGAACAAATGGCATTATCGCTGAAGACAAATAAAAGAAGAGTAAAAAATTCCTGCATTACGCCCGCCAGCATATGAGCCTATTCAGAAGTCAAGGAACTATACCCATTTTACAATGCAAGATCGTAACACATCAGTTCAGTTTGAAGGGCATGAAAAAGCCAAGATAAGCTGACTTGGCTCTCACGCAGAGACAACACGCAGATGATCGTCCCAACAGGGTCGCGTGACCGTTCTGCATTCGTGGAACGCGTACACCCAACCCCTACACAACCATTCACCGATACGCAGCCGGATCATAACTCGTCTGCTCCGTTGGCTGACTATAACCCGCAGTACCCCCGTAAGCACTAAACCTCACCCTTGGCTTCCGACGTCCCTGCACCGGAGCCGCATCGGAGTACTCCTCCGCCTCATCGGCATGGTGCTGCTCCAACGAGCCAGCCCCATACGCAGGAGGGGGCGGCATACGCTGGCTGGGATGGTACAACGGCTCCGGGGCGTGCTGGTACAGGGGTTCTTGTTGGGGGTGATTGGCGTAATAGGGGTGGTCGGCCTCATCGGGCGGGTAGGGACCAACGCCGCCGGACATGATGCTGCTGTCGCGGTTGTGCATCTTGTAGTCGTTGAGAGCGGTGCTGCTGGCCATGGGGTCGTACTGGCCCAGGCGGGTTTGGCGGCGGTAGACGATGACGTCCAGAGTGGCGGCGGCGATGTGGGATGTCGCAGCGACGATGGTGAAGGTGAAGAGGGCCTTGTAGATCCTGCAGACGCTGATGCCGGTCGAAGTGCCCCAGTAGGTTGCGTTGCAGGTCGTTAGGATGGTGTGGGACATGCTCCAGCTTAGGAGGCCGAGGGCGATGAGCCAGAGGACAAGGACGATGCTGTTGGTGACGAGGTTGAGGCGCGGAGAGAGGCCATAGCAGCAGTGGGTTAGGGTGGTGAGGATATAGTTTAGGAGGGAGAAGACGGTGGCTATGAGGAGCTGATGAGTTGAGATGGGGTGTTAGTGAAGTGTATAGCATAGATGGTGGGTAATGTGGTTGCCTTACGATTAGGAAAGCCCACGGGAGCTTGTAGTTGTTGCTATGCAGTTGGTTGATGAATACGGCCAAGATAATGCCCACAATGAAGGTGGAAATCAGGCCGAACAAGCGAATGGTATGGAATGGAATCGGGGGGTATTGGGATGGCTTGACTGATGCTCTGGACCGCATGTTGGCGATGCGCTGGGGATGAAGCTTATCCCAATCGCGGCGGGTGTGGGTGTGGGGTGGAATGAGATCGAGAATCCAAGTCGTCGATAAGCAATTAAGATGTCGATCCGCTGCGATATGATTGCAGCGCGATAGATGTTGAGATATTCTCATGTACCAAATGGATGGAGGAAGGAAGAGAAACAGAAAGTGAGGGAAAATGAGAGATGACAACAAACAGGAGAAAAGTCAAAAGGCAAACGGACGAGAGTTGCCATGCAAAGAGCAAAGCCTCGCTGTGGTGGACGATCGCGACTCCACTGCGGGTGTTGCTAAAGAAAGAAGCGGTTCGGGGGAGGATGACGCCGCTGCTGATGAATCTGCCCCGGTAACTGTGCGTGGCTCGCGGTTGGCGTCTCACCTGTGGGCCAGTGTGAAGTTTAACTTGTTCTCCAGCCTCCCCCAGGCCACCCGTTAATCTAACGTGATAGTGATGCTGATGCTGATGCTGATGCTCCTTTAAAAGATTGTTAGCCTGGTATGAGTTCATTTTGGTGTGGTTGTGGAGGACAGTTGACACGTGCCTGACATCTGCCCAATTGGTCCATGGATCCACCCAGGAACCCAGTGGGCATCTTCACTACTACTATTACTACTTACTACACCATGTTATCTATGAATACACCATGCGTGATCTTGAATTCACTTGTTCATGAAAGCAGGATGCTAGAGCTTTATAGATGCAAGATGTTTTGTTTTTTAACTCATTGATGAATCACTTAGTATGTTTCTTGGTTACTAGTTGGGGATAACAATACTAATGAGAAGCTCTCCACATCAAGCTACCAACAGTAGCTCCCAAATTTATTGAAAGAACTGTTGATGCTCTAATCTAGCTGTTTCGTGTCATTCTTTTTAGGTACTCCCCCACAATACACACCTGCGGGATGCCGCCACTTCACAGCATCGTGGATACAGCATTCGTATCGATCTGAAGTATTCTGCAATGATTGTTTCTATGCATACGGTGTTAAGTCAACTCCATTCTGTCTTGTCAAACCTTAGACATATTGAGCAACATCAGAACACTAAGACACGTTTCGCTTCCACAGTGAGAAGACGTGTCGCAATCTAGGGCGAGCCAATGGAGGCAGTCCCTACACTAAACTTGCTCAACTGCTAGCCATCCGAGTATGCTGTCTGGCATTTGCGGAGATTTTCTGGGGCGATTGTCAAGGTGGAAGTGGATTTGACGCTCTGGTATACTCGAGGCTTTCCTCAAGTTCAAGGGCGATTCTTTTCAGTCCAGAGTGACAGAGACGGTCTAGAGCTCGCCTTTGAAACTGACGGTCTTCTACATTCTTACTCAAACCCCCGTCTGTCGCTGTTATATACTCGAGACGGTCCTTTTGGGCGAAATATATACTACTAGATCATGAGGTTCAAGCACGCATCAAACAGCGCAGGGAATACAATCTTGGCCCTGTCTTGTGACACATTCGTGGCATCCTCTCTCAACCGTCCGATTTCGATTGGTCCACTGTACTATTGGGGTATGAGGAAGTTACATTGTATGCCGGCTATATCATCATGCAATCATTAGGCGCTTTGCGCGGATCTGGCATTGGGAAGCAAAGAAACAATAAGACGGGCTTTATAGCAGCTGCAGGTGAAGTGGAGGGTGCATGTGATGATCTCATCTGGCACCCAGAATGGTCCGTGCACCGGTAGTGCCATGCTTGACCGCCTGTTCGCCGGTCGGCGCCAACCGATGCAGTAAACATGTCCTTACTTTCTATAATTCACTCTTCGTCTCCTCGTCTTCAGAACATTACCCTCACAAGCATGGAGTGTCTTCGTTAACCTCAACCATCCTGGGTCTATCCCATCAACACCAATCATCTCTAACTCTTAATCGGCTTCTCGTGATAGACAGACGAAGATGCCGCCGCCCCGCCGCAAGAAGCCCCTTTCGCTAAGGATTCGACAATGGATTCATCGGCTTCGCACATGGCGCTCGCCATTAAACCTACGCGGCAGCCTGACAAGACTACGGGCATTTGAGAGACACCCGGTCTGGGCTCTGGTACGCCTTTTTATTCCGTTTCCTTCGTGGAAATTCCCCGTGTCCGACGTTATGCCGGCGGCGGAAATGATCGGAAACGAAGAATTGCTTCTTCTTCGCCACGACAATATGATCGACCTGGAGAGCATACCGATTTGGCGCGTTCGCGATACCCCCTTGAGATGTTTGTATAGAATGTACGAAGCTATGGCATCTGGTGTATACGAGGTTTTAGGCACCGAAACTGAATACTTTTGGTATCAGAAGGGGTGGTCATTACAGTCGATCAGCGACCCCAGGGACGAAGATCCCGTGCGCTATGCCATCATCGCATGTCTCGTTGAGGAACTTGTCGTTGCGTTTAATTGGCGTCTAAGTCTAGGAATGCGTCGGAACCGCAAGCACATCATCCGAAAGACGGAAGACGACCCGTGGCCCCCGTATACACCGCTGATAGGTCCTGCATGGACGGGCTCTGTTCCGGCGCTCTCGGCCAGCGACTTGGACGGATTACCCGGACGTTACATATTGGAAGGAAAACTCGTCTTAGAGGACGGCGGATTGAATAAAATCTTCGCGCGCCGCAACATCATTACGAATGTTGGCTGGCTTTATACGATCTGAACCGCAAGCCCTACGCTACCACGTTTTTTGTCTCGAAAGTAAGGGGACCATCCGCTTCACCATCTGGCGGTGTGCACGTAACTCCTTGCCAAGTACAGTCGAGAGTTCATAGCGAGCCCATTGCGCAACCCGACTGTCGGCGACAGCCTTTCAAACTACATGGACCTGAATCATGCCGCACTTGGAGCAATTACTCAACTCCCACCTGCAAGGGACTGAGATGGCTTCAAAGAAACACATCCTCGCCATAGGTTGCCTTGTAAGCAGCAGCCACACAGTTCATGGTCTCGACGTCTGGCATGACGTCAAAGCCATTCTTGTTCAGTGTGCGACAGTACTCCTTATCCAGCTTACCCCCCTTCCTCTCTTTCATGAACTTGAGCATTGCAACGGCATCGGCCAGATCAAGCTCCGCTTTGCGCCCCCTCTCCGCACAGTAGATGCGGCGCAACTTCCGCTCCAGCGCCCATTCCACAGGTGCTGCAAATACGAGCAGGGTGCCACTGGCCCAGAGGACAATATTTTGCTTGATGGCGTCCTCCATCAGGATCTTCCGCGTCTTCTCTGTAACGAACACTCCCACATCTTCGTTGGCCCAGTCCTCCATGTAGTGAGCCTCATTGGCGACTTCCCGGATGGACTTTTGCAACGGAACCTTGATATCCTCATCGTTGGCCCACTCCGGGTCAAGCAGGAAGTCCATGTCCGTAGTTGTCTTTCTGTTCTTCAGGTACATTACAGAGAAAAAGCCCCCTGCCACGATCATCCGGATGGGAGCGAAGGCCATGATCATGGGATCTGTGCCGAGTTTGGCATCCAACAGTCTCAACGCTAGAAGCGCGTTATGGATTAGAAACGATCGTTAGCCCCTGAGGTAGCACCGCGAAGAACTTACCTTTATGAAAGTCCTCCATGTCCAAATACACCTTGCGCTTTGTCATGATTGCGCGCAGAACGGTACTAGGACCGTTTTCTGTGGACTTGGGAGGGCAGCCGTGGTGCAATGCATGAACGGGGGAATGTTTGTGTTTGTCCTTTGACGGAGAACCTTGGGCGGGTTGGGGGGTCCCGCACCGAGATTCTGGGGTCAAAGCTGGAGGAGGGAGGGGGGGGGATCTCTTCCCTTTTTAAAATAAAAAATACTGGAACTGGCACACGGGCCGGGTTGCTTATGTCAGGTTCGTCAGGGTTGAAGTGAAGCTGGGCTTGAATGGCATTCACGATGTTGCCCTATCTCTCGCCAGGTCCCATATTGGGCTGTCTCCTGCATTTGCCTCGCATTAGTTGACACTTGTCGACTGCTTGCTCGAAGGTCGCTCGAGGACCCCGCCAAGCTGGTGAGGCGTCGAATTCCACATACCGCATCTAGACCGATCTGCGTCGGATACGTGGGTGATGCTGGATCACTGTGTATAATTCTGAACTTTTCTTTGCTATATATCACTTGTATAGTCCAGGTAAGCGTGGGTTGCTACGCTGTACATTATAGGATATCCATCAATGTATTATAGAACGTGTACAATGAATTCGTGGATGCTTGGTCGTGGATGATTCCAAAGCCCATCAATGCTTAACATACACCTGGAATAGACCTGGAACAAATTATTAATTATTTTCTTATCATATTGACTATGACTTAAGTCATTAGCAGTCCAAATTCATAGCGGTCAGCACACCATCAGCAGTAGCGTGATAAGCCCCGTCCCCGAGGATTTCTCCGCAGCCGAAACTGCAAAAACGCGTTATCGGGCTGCTGCCTCCGCATCGCCCTTGATACTTGAACTCCTCTCTCTTCCATCATCCTGCACCTGGTACCTTTTCCACATTCTCACGAACAACACCAATCTTATTCCCCCGTTGCATCATCAACAACTCACCACCTCCTCCCACCGGGATCCAACCCACACATAACTGACTACTACCCCTCACCCACCCCGCGCCTACACCAATACCAACACCAACACCACCACCATGTCCACCTACGAAGGTACTAATCCACCACTCCCATTTAAAACCTCTCCTACCCCAACGCTAACAACTAAATAAAACCAAAACAGTGGAACACAACACCACCGACCCCTCCACCACAACCCCCAACAACAACAACACCAGCACAACCCCCTCCAACCCGCACCGCCACCGTCGTCCCGACCTCTCAACCTTCTTCTCCGCCCTCTCAGAAATCACCCCGGACGAAGCGCGCCATCGTCCCCATGCCGTCCCCGTTCCCCGAGACGTCAGCGCAGCATTCTATTCCCTAGCCGAGGCATTGGACGTGATGCGCCGCGACGGCGGCGGCGGCGGAACAGCTATCCCCAGCGCGATCGGAGAAGTGGAAGGCGGCGACGAGAACGACCTCCTCACAACGATGATTCAGAGTCTGCTTAGCACGGCGGAAATGCCTCCTAGGGAGGTGGAAGGCGCGAGTGAGGAGTTTTGTGATAGTGCGTGGATACCCCTCTTTTTCCCCCATCCGTTATCCCAACAACTTCGGTGTTTGGTATAAATTGGTTTTGGTTTGGCTAACTGTTTACTTGGTGGGTTGTGTAGTGCTTGATCGCGTCCCCCGCACGCAATTGAACTCTTCTCAGGTCTGCCCGATATGCAATAACCCGTTTTTGGAGGATCAGTACCCGCTTGTGGTGCGGTTGCCGTGTCATCCGACGCATTTGTTTGATTTGGAATGCGTGAGGCCGTGGTTGAGGCTTAGGGGGACTTGTCCGCTTGATCGGACGGATTTCGCCAAGCAGGAGAGGGAGAAGGTTGAGGCGAGGAGGAAGTTGGCGGAGGAGGATGAGGAGGAGGAGTGGGATGGGATGTATGCTTGATTCGCTGGCTCGTTTGTTTACTGGGGTTGTGTTTGGGGGTAAACGTGGTTGGTGTTGGAGTTGGGGTTGTGTGGTGGGAAGCAAAATGCGTGCATATAGTTTTGGGTATGGCATAGTAATATCTATTTACTGTATGTAGTGTATATTTTTGTACATGTTCACGTTATGAAAGAATGGCGATGATGCTACCGCTTGTCTGCTCAATCCTTTGTGCGGATGGCCAGTTTGCCTGCCTTGTCGATGACTGCCTCCAGTCCGCTACGTTCCAACATCCCTGCATCATCCTTCACCACTTCCCGCGCTTCGAGCTCCTCGACCATCTTCTGGTTCTCGCGGTTGCCCTCCAGTAGGAACTTCAGGCACATGACGGCGTGTTCCTTGATGTAGGGGTTGTGCGCATCAAAGTTGGTGCAGGACAGGATGGTCTCGACACCACCGTAGCGACGAATTTGGTCTTGCACCTCGGGGCACTTCCATACAAGAGACGACAGAACAAGCACGACGAGTTTCTTGAGGTTGCGCCATTCAAACTCGGACGGATCTTCGGTGATTGGCGGTGATTCAGCCCGAGAGCCGGGGGCATCAATCGGGTCCGGGTCACCGGGATCGTATGGGCGCTCAACTGCAACCGGCGCGGGAGCCGTGTGCTGGGGCTCCTTGGAGGGGTTGTTGTGTCCCAGGTTGAGCGCGCTCAGCTGACCCTTGGGAATGCTGGCTTCGAGCTCCTTGATTAACGTGACTAGGTCGTAGACAATCTCCCACTTGACCAACAGATTCTTCCAGTCGTTGTTCTCTGTGAGCACAGCAAAGAACTCGAGGAACTGGTAAACACCCTCATAGACCCGCTCCATGTCCCACAGATTCAGCGGGAAGTCCTCAGGCAAAGCCCGCCCAGCTCGGATCTGGCCCTGCAGGTAGATCAAAGCGCAAGTTTCGGGAATGATGTTGCCGCGGAAGATCGTGAAGATGTACCGGACAGTAAGGATGTCAACTCTAGAAAGCGGGGCCGGGTTCTTAGTCGCTGTTCCGTTGGGCTGGGTTGATCCTGTAACCGATGCAGGGGAGTACTTGGCTCGGAAGATATGCGTGAGAATCTTGACAACCACTGCCTGCGCGGGCGAAATGATGTCCTTGGGTTGGCCGAAATCGGAGTATGCATGAGACATCAAACCATTTCTCAAGACCGCGTCCATAATCTGAACCATCATCTTGAAGTAGAGTTCGTCGTCAGGGAGATCCCAGGCAGCGATGAAGATCAACAGCTCGCGAAGCAGGTTCCTACCCGTCTCCTGAGTGAGCAAAATGTGACATCTGAGGGCCTGCATATTCCTCGAACCACTTCTCTCCCCACCCTTCAAGCCGAAACTATCCACGATACCAGCCTGGATGATCATTGGCAGTGCCTCGATCTCTGCCGGGCCCAGTACGAGTGGAATATCAGTCAGGAGACCCCGCTGTTGGTCGCCTGGCCGGCCACGATAGTCGTCGTCATCCTCATCGTCCTCTTCCTCTTCTTCCTCCATACTTCCGTCTGCAACAGCCTCCAAGCTTCGCGAGTCATCGTCACCGACCGTGCCTGCATCACCAGTGTCGTAGTCCTGATCACCGTCGCCAATCTGCGAGCTCTCCTGCAACCGGGCCATCAGCTCGTCTTTAGCCTCCTGCAGGGTTTCTGCCGCTGACTGTGCTGAACGCGGCATGCTCATATCTTCCTCCATCACAGTCGCATCGCCACCCGAAAGCGCACCGTAATCTCCAAGATCGGGAAGATCGGTCCAGCAGACACGTGGGAATCCAGCCGTTGCGCTGCGATCAATCGTGACAATCGCTTTCTTGCGAGGCGGCTCATCTTCTGGCAGAGCAGGAGGTAGGTCCTTAGCCCTGTCCTGGAGATCAGACCATCCATCAACCTTTGCACCGAGTATGGCGGTAAGAGCGGCGCGAATCTCCTTCACCTGTTCTGGATCCTTCCCCATTTCCTGTATGGCAGTCAAATCGCGTCCAAGCAGCTTTTCCATGTGATCCTTGATGTTAGCAAGAAGCAACATGGCTGCCTCTTCCTTGATGGTGGCAGGCTCTCTCGGGAAGTTTGAGATGGTTTCCAAGAGCAGATCCTCTGCGGTTTGGTCGTAAAGAGCCCTTATCGGGGGATTTACTATCCTCTCTCCGGTCTTTACGATAGGCGCCATTCCTTCCTGCTGACTGCAAGCGGGGTCAAGGGGCTCCCTGGGCTGGATAATGTTCGAGTCGCCCGTTGAGTGGTACCCAAACAAATCTAACCATAGCACCATCTTGCGTTGTTCGTTGTGCATGATGAAATTATGCAAGAACTGCAAGCAAGTGATAAGAAGGCGCTTGTAAAGGTTGACAACCTTTTGCCAGCGCTCTTCGTTCCTTGCATTCGTCTCCCCGTCAAACCCTCGCGCGGTTACTCTAACGCAAGTATCTACCAGGGCTAAGATTCTCTGATCGAAACCTTTCTCCGCCGCCATGTTCTGCGCCTTCTTCGTGGTGGCGAGGAGGTTACGGGCAATCGTACAGAGATCATTTAGGCGCTCAATGTCCTTGACTAGCGAAAAGTAATTGTAGGCTATTAGGTTCGAAGAGGAGTGATCGTAATTTGCCGTCGGGGGGCTCTTCCATGCAAACGATTGGGATTCAAGGACCGGGATCGCCTTCGTCAGTACGTCTGTGAAGCCTTGCCAGATATCCGGTGATAGGCCAAGGTTATGTCTGTAACACGAGAAAATGGTCAGTATGCAGGAGTGGAAGTAGGTGGCGGAGAGACGGTGGGCCACTGGACGGTGACTCCGATTCAAGACAAGAGAAAAACATCGTCGTACCTGACATCGCTCTCCTGGTGTGTCTTGTATAGAATCTGCTTCCCTGCAGAGAGCATGTGTTCTAAGCGTTTGTCGTCAATCATCCCGCGGGTTTCGTAGTGGCTCAAGGTCCCCGTCAAAATGACCTTCAACATGAGCTCCGCGGGGGTGCATTTCGGCTTGATCTCCGCTGCCGTGCGGTCGGCCATTTTTGACGATGCTTGTGAAGGTTCGTAGCACAAGCAGCTATCCAGCGTTGACCGCGCAATTTATAGTCGGGGAGGGGTGTGGGAATAACGACAATGAGGGACGCTCGGTGGAGAAAGAATCATTGAACCGTCGAGGGGAATTTTTCCGGCTCCGTCCCGGCAACTGCCTTTTCGGGTAATCTTACAAGGTACATGCACGAGGGCCAGTGAATGTGAAGCATTCTTATTTAGCAAGTCATAATTTATGTACATTCAAGTGATGTTAGCAAACTATTTACTTAGACCACCTTCGGCCGAACGGCTAAACCCAAGACATGACGCAGATTGTTCCAAAATCCCAGATCATAGATGTTGTCAATCTCCTTCATACTTTGCACCTGAACCCACCTCCGGTCTACTGGTGCGTCCCTGTTGCTCGGCTGCTTGATCTCATTGGAATCCCGCGATAGCAAGCATCCTGCCTTAGGCGGCTCACCATCGGTCAGTATGAGTACCTGGTCACTACTCACTGGCCAAAAGGACTGGGCACTCTGGTACTCGGCCAACAAGGGTGAGCTGCCATAGATTTCGGCCTTGCTAGATTTGTAAGCCATGCCATCTGCAACCTCTTCTTTCCAGTCTGACCACTTTGAGCTTTCGTTGGTTGTCATGCCAGCCCAGATCAAGTAGGTGTGGTACACGAGGAAGGCTGCCGCCAATGGGGCTGTCATGGTCATCAGCAGGGTAATAGCACCAATGCGAATATCGGCAGCGATAACTACAGCCCATATGTTGCAAAATCCAGTCCAGGTTTGCCGAGTCGTCCGCAAAGGTGAGCCCGGTGGTATCAGTCTGTCGTATGTTTGATACAGGAGAGTGTATCCCAGACATGAGCCGTAGATCAGCATGAGACATAGTGACAAGATCATGGAGAGAAAATAGTGGTAGTTGTGAAGTCCGACACAGTTCATGAGCCAAACGCAGTGATGGTCATGCCGTGCAACGCATGCTTTGCAGATGCTGCAGTGTTTACTTCGTGCCGGCTTGACAATATGACATGTGCGACAACGCTGTCCTGGGTGAAATATGACCTTATCGTATGGATAGCGTTCCATTTCAACTGTGTAATTCTTTGGGGTGATGAATGACTTGGTCGTAACGCTTGCATACAGCAAAACGTAGGGCATGGTGGCAAGGATCGGAATCCATATATGGTGGACTGTGGAAATCCTAGGCCAAGCAGTTGGGATGAACATACATTGCCCTGCAATCATAAGGGAAGAGAAGAATATCTAATATTCAGAGTTAGAGGAGGCCGTTGGATATCAGACACATGGACTAACAAGGATCAACGGGTGATTTTCGTGCAAAATGTAACTACCAGAACAAGTCCAGCAGTGAGACAGCCAGCCATTGAGTAGCCAACTGTCAAGGTAAAGAAGCCCATTAGGGATGTGTATCCAGAGAGCTCTATACAGCCAACCAATGGGGGTTTTGCTACAGGAAGCATCTATCAGTTACGGCCCTTACAACGAAATGCTGCAGCCTACCGAAACGCAGGGAGTCTCCCGAATAGCGCCACGAAAACAAACCCAGAGATCCCGAGGATCACAAGTGCAATAGTTCTTATGGCTCCCATCGTTAATAGGTTCTTGATCGTATCTTTGGGGAATTTCTTTGGATTAGTCTGTTGTCTCCCTCGCCTTGTTAGTACGGGGCAAAATCGTAGTCGGAGCAGTAATGCAGGCCAGAGCTATGAAAAGAGGATAATGCCACCCTGTCGCTTAGATCAGAGCTGGCATCATCAGTTGACAGGCTTTGGCGCGCCTGCTTGCAACCACTATTGCCATGTTGCTGAAGCTGCCGCCCAAGTGTCCACCGGGTATTTATTTGCGAGTAACAAGCACGTGACGTAATTGCCCAAAGGGGAAAAAATGAGCGTAACTACTGAACATCATGATTTTAATCCATTCAAATTAACCTTACCTGTACTTTCTTCCTCAACTCTAATTGTGACCTGACTCTTTGCATGGGTTTCATATATATCGATAACGCTAGTCCTCTTTCTGAATAATTGATACCTTCACATGCACACCTTATCTGTGGTTTAGGGTCCTTGACGCGCGGACACGTGAACACGTGATATCGTGTTTCTGTATACCTGCGGGTCTACAACTAAAAACGTTCGCGCCTTTGACCTGACGATTATAATGACTGAAACGAGCACTACAGGAGACAGTGGTGTATCAGGAGAGGCAACAACGCCCCTTTTTCAAGGGAAGCAGTTCTGGTTGTCTCACAACATCCCCCAAAGGAGATGGTTCAAAGAATTGATTGAGGTACTACAACTATACATCACTAGTATGAACGCGTGACTGATTTATCTATGGAAAAACGGCGGTACTATACGGCTGCTAGAGAAGGATGCAGATATCAGATTGGTTGACCATAAGAGAAAGAATTTACCCGCTGACACGTGAGGTTTCCTCCCTGTTCCATCCTTGACTCACTTGTGTTATCGCATCGCTGGAAACTAGTGCATACTATTTCAGGCTTCTATCATCCAGTGGACACTTACAAGCTATAGGTACTCTTTCAAGTATGTCGAAGACTCACACCGCCGGGGAAAGCTACAGAATCTAGATGATTATAGAGCTGGGCCTTCTGAAGCACGCCCCGTAGGGGCTACCAACATTCCCACCAGAGGCCACAAGATCCCCTATACTCTTGAAGATGACCAGTTGCTCTGGGATTGGATGCAACCCCACGAGAGAAACCCTAAGGCTTCCATTAGAGGAAATAAGATCTATCAAGAGCTAGCCGAGAAGGTATCAAGAACCACCTCTGAGCTGTGAAGATACAAGCATACTAAGTGTCATTTGCTAGCATCCAAGGCACACGTATCAATCATATCGGGATCGGTACCTCAAAAGGCTCAAGGGGCATCCACGCCCTGGTGGCATGCCAGAATCAACAGAACAACCTGCACCTGCTGAGCCCTCCAATGTAGCTACTCGCGCAGTCCAGTCTGAGCCTCGAGGAGGAATTACACCAAGGGCTGCATCTACTGCCATCCAAACAAATGACAAGAAGAGGAAACGGGCTTCTGAGGATACTCCTGAGGAAGGAAATGTAGACAATCCCAACAAGCCCAGTCTGAAGAAACGAGCTACCGAAGTCAATATCAACCTTCCAGACCCTTTCATCTCCGAACCTCAAACAAAAGTGGCTGCAGTATCACATTCAGCGACAGCATCCAACGGCCAGAGACCAACTCTTGGGGCAACGGAGGCGAGAGAACGTGGGGCCACTCAGGAATCAAAGGCCCCAGCTAAGGAGCCACACCAGCCTTCACAGCCAGACCCTTTGTTTCTAGAGCTCCCATTCTTGCCTTCGGATGATGATCCTGAAGACGAAGATATGGAGCAGGATATCGATGCATGGATCGATGAACGACTTCATACTGGAAAGGCTCAGCATGAGGAACAAATACACCAAGCACTGCGGTGCACCAGCATGGATCCAGAATTAGCTGACAGGGTCCTGGCTATCCTAGTAGAAGGGAAACCTATACCGGATGATATGCCCGGTGTTTGGACACCTGAAGATGACAAATGCATAGAAGGAAATGAGACTCGAGGCATCCAACGAGTCATGGAGAAGCATGGGACGGAGGCCTTCAACAATCGCTGGGAGTACCTCAGCATGGTCAGAGAGGCCGGTCTTCTGGATACCCTATGAATAGGACTGCCGCAATTTCAATATTCCGGAACTGCGAACTAATAAATAATAATGTACATGGATCCTGAAACGCTCAAAAGAGACACAAAGACAAAAATCCGGAAATCACATGATACCCAAAGAGCAGTAGTGCGAATGAGTTCGCGAAGACCTGGTGCAGCTGGCCCAGTTCCGTTGTATGCCGGTGTTGGTTCTCTTCAAGCTGGAAAACTCTATGGGGGTCCATGTCGAGACTAGCCCAGGCCATTGTCTTACACTTAGGTTATCTTGAACCAGTAGTTGAAACTTCAAAAACACCCTATATGCTTGCTCCTTCAGGACTACTTTGCAATTGCGCCTGTCGTAAATTTGACGATGATAGATAAAGAACCCGAACCTCAACGAATGGATTGTTCAGCCCTCCTTAAAGACCCTAATAAAGAGTTTAGCATATGCTCATATTACAAGGCAATGAATGAGGATGTCTTACAGATGTGATTCATAGAATTGAAGCATCTTCCTGCAAGTTAGCGCCGACAAAGAACCACGGATCCCAGATAACTCACCTTCTTCGGGCACTTGTCGTAGCACATCTCTATGTTGACCTTTGATTTTCTACCATTCTTCCAGCTGATAAACGCAAGCAGATTTGACGTTCCCGGTTGCCGTATGATTGTTTCCACGGTGTCGACCTCTTTCTCCCAATTGCGAGATGAGGGAACCCACGTGGATGTGTCGTCGCTTTCACCTTCATCGGCCTGCTCTTTTTCTGGTGACTCTGTTGTTGTTTCAGCCCGTGACTTGCGGCGTCTCTTGGGCTCGGGGGTTTTCTCGGGGGCGGACTTCGGAGGTCTTCCCATCGACTTGCGCTTCTTTGTCTGCGGTTGTGGCTTTTCAGGACGGCCTCCCAGGACTCGAAAGTACTCCTCGACTATATCCTTCGCGCCTTCTCTGTAAACGATCCATCAGTATCGCTGAAGCTGTAGTGAGCGACGTCCAGTAGCATACAATAGATTCTCTTCTGGCTCCCATGTCATGTCAGCGGGGTCATCGTAGCCCTGCCACTTGACTTGTAAAAGGAGGTCGCCCTACCAAATCATTAGCCAAAGCATGTCCTCTCGGTGTCAATTGAACAGGTGTATATAAAGAAAATCGCGCACCTTCTTGGCCCATTCATGATTCATAATCTTTTCAACAGCGTATCTGTTCATGTCAATCCCTGCTTGCGACAAGGTCGCACGCGCGCAAGCTTACACATCCTCTTCTTCCTCATCCTCGTCCTCGTCCTCATCGTCATCCTTAGAGGCATTCTTTGTTGACCGAGCATCGTTAAAGGGAATCGACTCGCCACTCGACGACTCTTCATCGGAAATGTCAGGAAGCGGCGCTGTAGTATGGTTAGTTTGACGGTCGATCTCGAAGGTAGCATAGATGCATCAGTTTGCGGCTACTTACGGGGCATTGTCCTGAAGGAAGCAAAGCTGAGAAGTCGGGAAAACAACTTGGCGGATTTCGCGAGAGATTAGCCCACGGATCAATAGGATCACAGAGTGAATGACAAAGAAATAAACATTAGCGATGAGGCGACAATTAGTGTAGCTGATGGTGAAGTTGCTTTGGACGCAGATGAAATGCCGAGTCGCGCGGGCGCGCGGTGGGAAAATCACGCTATACCCGATATAGAAAGCAGCTCACTAGCCCGCTTTGGACATCTCCAGAATTTCGAATTGCAAGTGTGCCTCCAAGTCCCTCCGCCGTCCGGTCCTCTGCCTTCCCCCCATCGCTCCGATCAACTGTCCTGGGAGTCTACTCGATCCGTTGACTCCTATCATTGACCCCCTTGCCGGCTTTTATTTTCCGACTCTCTGAAGTGGGATTTCTGCCAAGTGGCAGACCGTCAAAATGGCGATGCGTATGTTGCAGATACCCCTCACTCGGCATCAACTATACTAACGTTCTTTGGCCTCTTTCGCAGAGCTTGATCTTTCTCAAGGTGGGACCTTTCGTTGCTCCGGACTTGCTTCGGTTTTGATATCTGTTGCTGACCATTACATCAGCTTCTGTAATGAAGGATGAACAGGGTCGGCCATTCATCGTCGTTAGGGAGTACGTTCCGATCTTCGACTCATATCAACACCAAATGGACGGTTTCTTTCAGGGCAGGTGGCTAATCCGGTTCTACAATACAGTCAAGGAAAGAAGAAGAGACAGCATGGCACGGATGCGGTGAAGTCACACATTGTTGCCGCTAAGACGGTCGCCAGCATCGTCAAGACCTCCCTGGTACGGACCGTCACCGGATTGGCAGAATAAGCAGTATTTAATGGATTTATAGGGTCCCCGTGGTCTCGACAAGATTCTGATCTCCCCTGATGGAGATATTACCGTTACGAACGATGGTGCCACTATTCTCGGCCAGGTTTGTCCTTTACCATCAGCCGCTACACTCGAGAATATATCTGACCTGTTGATGCTGGAAAGATGGAAATCACGAACAACGTCGCCAAGCTTCTTGTTGAGCTGTCGAAGTCTCAAGATGAGGAAATCGGTGATGGAACGACAGGTGTCGTTGTGTTGGCTGCGGCTATGCTGGAACAGGCGGCCGAACTCATCGACAAGGGCATCCACCCTATTCGGATCGCAGACGGTTACGACCAGGCTTGCGAAATCGCCATTGCGGAACTCGACAAGATCAGTGATGTGATCCCCTTCACCAAGGAGGACACTTCGAACCTGCTCAAGGTTGCCAAGACCAGTCTGGGTAGCAAGATGTACGAGGATTTCTCCGTTTGCCCCTTGGGCCCTGCATGCTGACCCTTGTACAGTGTTTCCAAGTCTCACGACCAGTTTGCGAATATCGCTATCGATGCAGTTCTCTCCGTGGCCGACCTCGAGCGCAAGGATGTCGATTTCGAGCTGATCAAGGTTGACGGCAAGGTTGGAGGTGCCCTCGAGGACTCCCTCCTCGTGAAGGGTGTCATTGTCGACAAAGATTTCTCCCACCCCCAGATGCCCGACGAGGTTCGGGATGCCAAATTGGCTATCCTGACCTGCCCGTTTGAGCCCCCGAAGCCCAAGACCAAGCACAAGCTCGACATCACGTCGGTTGAGGAGTTCAAGAAGTTGCAAGAGTATGAGCGGGAGAAGTTCACAGAGATGATCCAGAAGCTGAAGGACTCTGGCGCCAACCTGGTCATCTGCCAGTGGGGTTTCGACGATGAGGCCAACCACCTTCTGCTCCAGAACAAGCTCCCCGCCGTTCGCTGGGTCGGCGGCCCTGAGATCGAACTGATTGCCATCGCGACCAACGGTCGTATCGTTCCTCGTTTCGAGGATCTGAGCTCGGAGAAACTCGGAACCGCAGGCCGTGTTCGTGAGATGACCTTCGGTACCACTCGGGAGAAGATGCTCGTCATTGAGGATTGCGCCAACAGCCGTGCTGTGACGGTGTTCGTTCGTGGAAGCAACAAGATGGTAAGTTCGAAGATATCGAGGAGATATCAGGGGACATGTGCAGGATGCTGACCCTCTCTTAGATCATTGATGAGGCCAAGCGTTCGCTCCACGATGCTCTCTGCGTCGTGCGTAACTTGGTCCGTGACAACCGTGTTGTCTACGGTGGTGGTGCTGCTGAGATTGCTTGCTCCATCGCTGTTGAGGATGCCGCTGTCAAGGTATGTCGATGTCCTTAGAATATGCGTCTAATTACATGCTAATATCATGTCAACAGAGTCCCGGAATTGAACAATACGCCATGCGTGCCTTCGCTGACGCCTTGGACGCCATCCCGATGGCACTTGCTGAGAACTCGGGTCTCAGCCCCATTGAGACCCTGGCTTCGATCAAGTCTCGCCAGGTCAAGGAGAACAACACCCGCCTTGGTGTGGACTGCATGATGACCGGCAACAACGGTTCGTATAAGGCATTCCTTGAAACCCCTGGCATTTTTGCTAATTAGCCATCTATAGACATGAGAGAGCACTTCGCCATTGATCCCCTGATCGGAAAGAAACAGCAGCTGTTGCTTGCTACTCAGCTCTGCCGTATGGTCCTTAAGGTGAGTCGTCCAACCAGTCTTCTCCTATTTGTCCTGGAAACGCAGCTAACTCGAACTGAAACAGATCAACAACGTCATCATTGCGGGCGACGAGGACCAGGAATTCTAGATTTCTTCTGTATACAGGTTTTTTTGTTTCGATGGCTAAAAGTGACACAAACACTGGCGTTGCAGTCATGCGGAATCGATGATACTACATATAGTTCTTGCAGGTAATCAATCAGTCTCGGTGGTGCTATGGACGATAAACATAGCAGTTACATAGAATCAGTGAAATGACAGAAATGACATTCAACCAGTTCCGGAGTAGATGTAGGAGAAGGAGATAGCAAAGCCCTAAGAAACAGAACAAAGGACCAAAGAATGATGGGTTAGCTACTAAATGAGGCTGAAATAGAAGTGAGTGGACGAAAGTAGTAGTTGTGATTGTAGTGACATTTATCATAGAATAAAAGTATCCTGGACATCTCAACTCTACTTTGAAAATACCATCTTCTAGTAGTCCTTATCCAAGTAACAAAATACTAATAAGTAGTTTCACTTAACTAGGCTTTATAATACTATTAGTTACTTACTATGTAGTTAGCATTGTAGTTGGAATTTACCCGACAGACAAATATCACGCGCTCAGCTTCTATACTATATGGAACTATGAAGTCACCGTATCTCAAAACCCACTCCCTCCATACTCGTGAATCATACATGGACTACTATAACCGTCACTCTCAGCATCAAACCCCCCTACCCTCACCTCCCCCGCCTCCCGAGGTCGGAAGATACCGCAACTTCGTATACGATAATCACTCCCTTATCAGACCTCACAATTAACGAACACAAGACATCAGATATGTCTTCCCCGATTAATCTAATCCACTTAATCACAGGTAGTTATCTAGCCAAGAGAGACAACCCGGAGCGGAAGTGGGAAAAAGGAAGGGAACATATCCGCCCGAGGCGGATAATG